CAGGACGTTAGCCATAGCTTTAAAACAACATGAACGTGTAGCCTACCCGTAACTGGCCTGGACATAAAAGCACACAGTCGTGGCTCTGTTTTAGTGATTTCATGTTGTGCAAAACATAAAATGGCTTGTTTTACTATGGCTTTGTTTTGTATTTGAGATTTAAGAAGAAAGGAAAGTACTCCGCCGTCAAAATACCTGTTGCTGAGCGATGTGGGCCGTTATCGTCGCCGTGTTAGCGCCGTGTGGCTTAGTCTGGATTCTGAAGCAGCATCGAAACCCGGGCTTTCTACAACGTCTGCGTCGTTTACGTGGAAAATGTCTGTATGTCCTGGGTCCAACCTCTCGCTCCTCTCTCACATTCGGTTGCCACGCACATGTATATTTATTGATAAAACCGTGGTACGTTACAATAGTTTTCAGAATGAGAGAGAAAGCCTTCGTGATGCCTTTGTTCTCTACTTCCTGTGCAAGAGTATACAAATACAATTATCTGTGTTAAAAGTGTTAGGCTTGCCCACATTCCGGCATATATATATATTTTTTCGTATTTTGTGTTTTTAAAGCGGTCTACATCGTACAGTACTGAAGGAGCGCCTACCACTGCCACTCCTCGTGTTTTATTACCTCGGAAAAGAACCAAAAGCAGATTGTTTGTTATCACGTATTGCATCTCAAATTGCTTTTTCAAGAAGACAAGAGAAAATATCCAAAAATAATTTCATACAACAGCAAACAAATATTGTTCTAGAGTGATAGTCTAAAGGGATAGCTCTTTTTTGTTGTTGTCTTTTGATTATGACAGTGTTAGACTCTGAAGTGAAGTTAATCCCTTCGTTTTTGTCCCTGAAGCTTTGGAAGAGGGTTCACGCCACCTTCGGAAATATCAACTCCTTTTACAGCCACATCAAAGCTATGTCCGGGAACGTTCACAGCTCTTTTCACAATCTATTCATTTGTAAAATGCAGGTCAAAGACGACAGAGACTGATTCCAAACGTCTACAAACCTCCACAGCCATTTATTTGTCCAATTATTCCAGTATTTTTCCGCTGGATGTCGTGGCGTGAACCGGCTTCCACACATAACTGAACATTTGAACAAAGCCAGAACGTCTGATTCGCACGCCACCGTGACCCGCCACCGTTAAAACACACACACAAAACATTTTCAGGTTTACAACGAGGCAGAGTGCTATGTACACATTATATTATCTATATATTATATTTTTATTTTTTATATGTAAACCAGCACATTCTCTCACGTTTTTTAGTAGTATACATACTAAGCACAAATGCTCTTTCAGTTGTTCACGAGTCCACGATGTCTCGAGTATGTATAGCACTAAATTGGTAGTTTTGGACATCAGCGAAAAATACATGGAGAATTTGCCATTCCCCAAGTCACTCGGCTTGCTGTTAAATATATATATTTTGTTCAAAACACTGAATAAGGCGCCTTTGTACGTAGTGTGCGTTCCTAATAAAAGTCAAAGGAGAATCAAGTGATGTAAACATTCAATAGTTTGTGTGTTGATTAGATAGAAAGACAGACAGAGGAAAAGGGACAGAGCGACTTTGCAACGTCGTCCAAAACCCGTTAGCTTAGACGCTACTATTGCATGTTCATTAGCTTTGAATTCCTCCATTTTAAAACCAATTTCATCAGTTTGTCAAACACCAAGTTGTCAAGCGTTCTGAATACGTTGACAACAGCGTAATTCCCAATTTAGTTTCAGACGCAAAATTCAATTCCCGATTCTACAATGACAACACAATAGTATGAGCTCAGCGTACAGAAGGGAACCGCCAAGAAACGGGAGAAGACCTGAACAAGTGGACTCGGTAAACTGGGGGCAAGGTTCTTATCGAAAGCAAGAAGAAACAAGGGCGTTGTGGCAAAGAGATTCAGAGGATCTTGTTGCCTCCCAGTGCATTTTAGAACCAGCCAGTTACCGAGATATCTTGGTTCATTTTCTCCAAACCAAGCCCCAAAAAGCTTCAGTAGTGTCCACTCAACCACAAGACAAAGACGAAACACATTACTCTACACAGAAATTTTTCAAATCTGGTGAAACGTCGAGACATTTTCCCCTTCCGATGATGTTTGAATGTAGAAAAATCAGCCTAAATTGCGTTTATGTGAGAGTTGAGAGCTGGGAGAATGGACAATATGAGGTAGAGATGCTCAGATGATACAGTACCTCCCGGACTCAACAAAGTAACGCCCGGTTTTGTTTGATCTTTGTCTAAGCACCGTTCCCTAGCTTCGAAAGAAATCCACCCGGAATTAGCAGGATGCAAATCTCTATCCCTCTTTTCAGGTTTTATTATTGGGGGGGGGGGGGGGGGGATGCTACTGGCTGCGGCGACGAGGCTGCGGTAAGCACCAGGACGCTTCAACAATCTTTGGGCAAGCAGAAATGGGGAAAGTTAAGATTTTTACATTCAACTATGGTACATTCCTTTGATCAGTAAACGCAATTGGCCTGTCGTGGGACTTGAAACCATTTGGATAGCTTATAGTGCGGCTGTTTGGGTGTTGTACGATGGTATTGCTACAGCTACGTCAACGCCAGTGCACGCTACGATTAGAATTTGTCCGTGTCCAGCCAAGAAGACATTTGCATTAAGTAACCAATGTTCGTGGCATTGTTAAAGTTGTATCGTCCAATGATGCGTTGTGCTTAATAAAATCGGAAACGGCTTTAAAAAGACAAATTATACATTATTATTGGCTTCGGAAACTCATAATGTGACTATTTGCGACGTCTTTTCATGCGTTAGAATCTGCCTGCCCTATCCCTATGCTACCACCAGAGGGAGATGACAAATTTGTTTAGTTTTTATTATCAAGATTTGAAAATTACCGGCTGCAACCACGGCCGAGCAACCGCTAAAAGCAAAATTTCACTTGAGAATTTGGCAAAACTAATTTATATATTATGTCATGGTGGTCGTGCTTTTACAGGACTGGACCGAGACTGGAGATTAGAGTCAGAAGTTACTGATATCAGCCTGAATGGATGTAAAAACAACTCCAGGTCTGTGTGATGAGTGAACAATGCGGTAAAATGGACACAAGCCAACATTTTGCATAATATGTCTTCTTTACATCTTGGTGTTTTGAAACAGTCATGCGTCTTTGGTTAAGCAAATTTAAGGAAGACCGCCAGAATACGCATTTTTTTTTTTAAACAACATCGTAAGATCTTGCCGTGTTAAAAGCAATCTCTTCTTCTAATAGTTTGCAAAAGTGTTGACGTAGCTTTAAATGACCCGGGTTGGTTATGTTTGCTGAGATTGTGGGATTCCATTAAAGCCAGGATTACCTTATTCCCCCATTTTGGACCTGCCTGCGTCCATCTGAGTGTAAACAAAGCGGTTCATTGCATTCGGTGCGGCGTCGTCGTGGATACATGTTCATTAGGACCCAAACACACTCATTTTGACCTGGAAAATGCATTGGAAAGCTGGTGATTATTCCCCAATTTTCACATCCGATACATCACCCACTGTGCTAAGCTCTTGTGGTCAAAATGTGTTCGATTCTAGAGATTTTTCTCGACATTTCGGAGGCGTTTTGTTATTTGTAAGAGCAAGTTTAAGATCCCATTGTTGTTCATCTAATTCCATTATTGGAATTGATTTGTGCTCATGAGAAAAGTGCAAAAAATGTATAAATTACAACTTAAATAATCAAATAAATCCACAAAATCCAGTGTTATTACAACTTTAAAGGCGTCTCACCAAAGTATTAGTCTCGAGGAACTATTTTTCACTTCCTGTTTTAGCTCCGAGGTCACCACAAATCAACTGCGTTAGCCTCACACGTTTCTCATTCTTAAGTGCGATGCTATTGCTAATCCCAGTACAAACGTGAAGCTAAAATCAGACTGAAATATACGTTATGGCTCAGGCCTTTTGACGAGACACTGTTCGAATTGGTTCCAACGCAGACTTTTCCAAATGGACAATGAGTTTCTCCGACGAACCCTTTCGAGACCGAGCGAGCAGCCAGTAGCACGGCGTCTGAACCGAAATGACCACGACAGATTAGAAAAGGGGGGAGAGAGTGTGTGGGGGGGGGGGGGGGGGGGGGGGAGGGGAGGCCTTTTTGCTCCTTACAGTGCATAGATAAATTAAGGAAGCACTACAATTACAAACAGAAACAAATAAGAACATGATTTTTTTTCCCCAACTTCATTTTTAAATTTGTAAACTTTTTATCAGTCAAATGATTAAATGTTACTGTTATATTAGTTCTCCATAGCACACACACGCACACACACACACATACACACACACACACACACACACACACACACACACACACGACAGATTCTAAAACTGATCACATCCAAGGTTTTTTTGCTGAGACAAAGCAGGACTTTTACGTGTCTTTTTAACCCCAATCTCGATTAACAAAAGCCGCACACAGTTGACGGACTCGACGGCGGACACACATTTTTTCCACCACGTTTTTGACCAGAAAGACTCCTCAAACCTATTTTCTCTTTTTTTAAATACAAAAACAAAGAAAAAGGACACGCACACGCAGGAACACACATCACGACCACCGAAAGGAGGGCCTGCTACGCCAGTCCTCACGCCCAGTATTACCCGAGAAGCGGCTAAAACGACACTGAAAAACAGACAGGAAGCAGCTTGCCGTTATTTGAATGTTCAGCGGTTTGAGTTTGTACCATTGCTTTTTAAAAATAAAACAAAACAAAAAGTCAATCTCCTCCCGTTCGTCTCCCTCACGGGCTCCGGATGTGGCTTCCTCGTTTGAGAGCAGTATCCTCCGGTGAAAGAAGAAGAAGAAGAAAAAAAAGTTTTACGTATTACTTCCAATGGTAAAAATGTAAACATTATTTGCGAGGTTGTCTTGCATGGAGGAGTCATGGAGTCCCCGCTTTTTTGGTGAAGGGAAAGACGTTTGTGTCCGGGAAAGAGGCTGCTGCAGTATTACTAAGGCTGGCCAGGCGGGGGCGCTGTACTGTCAGCGGTGCAGGGACTTCTGGGCTTCTTTGAGCAGAGTGTCGAAATCCAGAGCGTCATATTTGCTCTTGACTGGACCCGGACCGGCCTCGTCTGCAAGAGAAGGACGACAATAGTCAGAGCCTGCGGTGTCCACGGTCGCAACATTTACTCCAAGATTTTTACAGGTGAATTATAGAGCAAGTGGAGAATATGTTACTGTGGTCTGCAGTCAGAAATGTATTGATTTTAGAGTTAGTGAGAGTTAGTGATTTTAGAGTTAGTGATTTTAGAGGTAGTGATTTTAGAGGTAGTGATTTTAGAGTTAGTGATTTTAGAGTTAGTGATTTTAGAGGTAGTGATTTTATACGAAGGAGAGATGTTTTGTCTGTAAGTTATGTGTGAGGTGTTGTTCATGTACGGTTACTGTATTGTCTTGCTGTTTTTACATGGTTGTGTTTGCCTTTAAAAATGTGTTTTTCTGTTTTTATACTGTGTCTGTTTTATACTATATGGGTATGGCATGGCATGGCATGGCAGGGCAGGGCAGGGTAGGGCAGGGTAGGGCAGGGCAGGGCAGGGTAGGGCAGGGCAGGGCAGGGTAGGGTAGGGTAGGGTAGGGCAGGGCAGGGCAGGGTAGGGTAGGGTAGGGCAGGGCAGGGCAGGGTAGGGTAGGGTAGGGTATTGGTATGTATTGGTATGTATTGGTATGGTATGGTATGGTATGGTAGGGTAGGGCAGTGTTTTTCAACCACTGTGCCGCGGCACACTAGTGTGCCGTATGATATTGTCTGGTGTGCCGTGAGAAATTCGTCTACTTTGTCTAAAAATAACTGCATTCGCTGTTGACGAGCGGTGACTTGTTTTTAACTGTGAGTAACCATGTAATACTTTTTCAAATCAGTAGATGGCAGCAGATAGCTAAGTACTGTGAAACTGAAAAATTGGATGCGACCACTGGCTGTAACAGGTCAGCATTTTGGCGAAAAAGGTAAAATTGGATGCGACCAACAAATGTGGAAGGGAGCGAGACAAGAGCTTTGTGGCGAGTGAGAAGTGAAAGTGATAGAGACGTTTTTGAAAATGAATTATGCCGTTTCTGAACAGGATTAACATCCTCCGCTCTGCCCCGGGGCAGCTGTGGCCGCGTTGTAGTGGTTTAACTATGAAATGTACCATTTTTGTACAACAGCTCTCGCGAACGCACTTCTGAACTGGGTACCGAGCGCAGACCGTAGTCGAGTGGACAGAACCACAGACATGCGGACCGGACAGAACCATGGACTCGCGTTCAGGACCTCCCGTGTCCCTCATCCAAAACTCCTGAATTTAAAGCTCGGATACCTAAATTTTTCCCATGCACTAACAATGCATGTTCTTTGTGTGACTTATTATTTGACTATTTGGGCAGAGAGTGGATTTTCTTAGTTTTTTTCCACACAGTTAGTGCCACTTTATTCCCAAACTCTTCTTAATTGTATCGAGAAATATTAAATAAAGCTTAATATCAAGGCCTGGACTTAAGCATTTTGATGAGAATAACTGTATATTGTGAATATAGGCTACAGAGTATACTGTATACATTATAAGATAAGATAAGATATACTTTATATATCACACAGAGTATGTACAGTATATATTTTTACATTAGTACTGTATACATTTTTACATTTTCTCCTGGAGGTGTGCCGCAAGATTTTTTCAGTGAAAAAAGTGTGCCTTGGCTCAAAAAAGGTTGAAAAACACTGGGGTAGGGTATGGTATGGTATGGTATGTATTGGTATGGTATGGTATGGTATGGTAGGGTAGGGTAGGGTATGGTATGGTATGTATTGGTATGGTATGGTATGGTAGGGTAGGGTAGGGTATGGTATGGTATGTATTGGTATGGTATGGTATGTATTGGTATGGTATGGTATGGTAGGGTAGGGTATGGTATGGTATGGTATGGTATGGTATGGTATGTATTGGTATGGTATGTATTGGTATGGTATGGTATGGTATGGTATGTATTGGTATGGTATGGTATGGTAGGGTAGGGTATGGTATGGTATGGTATGGTATGGTATGGTATGTATTGGTATGGTATGTATTGGTATGGTATGGTATGGTATGGTATGTATTGGTATGGTATGGTATGGTATGGTATGGTATGTATTGGTATGGTATGGTATGTATTGTGTTTCCATGTAACCACTGACTGCAGGTGGATGTGTGTGGCTATAATCTGTCTCTGATCTTAATGTCACTGCGCTCTGTCTCTTCCTCCAAACTCCTGTGCTCGTAAACGAACGGGGAGCGGACTCTAGGACCCTGAGGAGCTGCCGTGTTTGTACCGAGGTCGATGTAGCGTTTCCGGGTCAGCCTCCGCAGCGCCGTGGGAGCCGCGTTGAAGACCACCTCTTTCCGATGCCTCTGGTTTCCGTTCTGACAGATCTTAATGACGCCACATCGCTCCCTAGAGTAAAACAAGATGTATTCATGGCGTAAAGCTAAAACAGGAAGTGGACGATCGAAGAACAGATTTTATACAAAAAGGTAAAAATAACCAAGGCTCTATCTCGACCAATCAGCTCGAAGCACATTTACAGTAGATTAAACCAACATGTAATGATCTACTGCCTTAAACTATTAAACTTATGCTTTTAAAACCCTATTTTTGTAGAGAAATACCAAAATTCAGTTTGAAGCTTGGGGACCTTTTCCAACAAATGGGAGTCTTAAAGTAAAAACGGATATGGTCTTTTTAGGATGTTTGCAGAGTTCCGTGAGTCACTATTTGTTGCTTGAGGCAGCGTTTCAGATTTATGCTAAAATCTGGAACAGTCTTCCTGAAAATGTGAGACGGGCTTCTTCTCTGACAATGTTCAACTCCGGTTTAAAAACAGCTTTGGTTAGTTGTGCTACGACTGAACCATTTTGACCGCACTGTGATTATTTGATATTTTAAAGCCTTGTGAGACAGTTTCCATCTTGTTTTGAGAACCTTTTAGAGTTGTGCCATACTAAAGTTGTGCTTGCCAAAACAATTTCCAAGTGGTGACTTTTGTTACTTACGTGGCAATAAAAATGATTCTGATTCTGATACAAATAAACTGGCCTTGCTTTGGGCTGAGAGCTGATTGGCTGAGACTAGTTCTTTCTCTTTTTCTGAAAAATCTGATCTAAAAGATGTGACAGAAGCCAAATAAATCCTACGTGTGAAAACTATCAGAGATTTATTCTGTATTTCTTTGTTGTAAAAAAAGATTGTTTAAATTACTGACTGCGTCTTTAAATAATAGACTGTGTTTGATGCGTCTGAGTCTAAAGTCTGATGTGCAACACTGACATTTCCTCACTGTGGGACCATTAAAGGAATATCTGATCTGAATACAACAGTTAAAGGTCCTCTCTCTGCCGCTCTCTCCTCGTGCAGAGAAACTGAAAACCTCTGACCCATGAATGTTCCCGTTGTCCCGACAGGAATAGCGGCGTGTCCCGGGATACTCACTCGTTGCAGATGATGACTTTGCAGTCCTCCGCTTTGCCGAAAACCTGGAAGCGTTTGCGCAGCATGTTCTGGGTCACGCTGCTCGGGAGGTTGTGGATGTAGAACACCTGGCAGTTGTCCTGGCAACGAGAGAGAACCCGGTCAGGATGGAGGAGAGAGGATGGAGGAGAGAGGATGGAGGAGAGAGGATGGAGGAGAGAGGACAGAGGAGAGAGGACGGAGGAGAGAGGACGGAGGAGAGAGGAGAGAGGACGGAGGAGAGAGGACAGAGGAGAGAGGACGGAGGAGAGAGGACGGAGGAGAGAGGACAGAGGAGAGAGGACGGAGTAGAGAGGACGGAGGAGAGAGGACGGAGGAGAGAGGAGAGAGGACGGAGGAGAGAGGAGAGAGGACGGAGGAGAGAGGAGAGAGGACGGAGGAGAGAGGACAGAGGAGAGAGTACGGAGGAGAGAGGAGAGAGGACGGAGGAGAGAGGAGAGAGGACGGAGGAGAGAGGAGAGAGGACAGAGGAGAGAGGACGGAGGAGAGAGGAGAGAGGAGAGAGGACGGAGGAGAGAGGACAGAGGAGAGAGGACGGAGGAGAGAGGACGGAGGAGAGAGGACGGAGGAGAGAGGAGAGAGAACGGAGGAGAGAGGAGGAGAGAGGAGAGAGGACGGAGGAGAGAGGAGAGAGGAGAGAGAGAGAGAGAGAGAGAGGACGGAGGAGAGAGGACGGAGGAGAGAGGAGAGAGGAGAGAGGACGGAGGAGAGAGGAGAGAGGACGGAGGAGAGAGGAGAGAGGAGAGAGGAGGAGGAGAGAGGACGGAGGAGAGAGAGAGGAGGAGAGAGGAGGAGAGAGAGACGGAGAGAGAGGAGGAGAGAGGAGAGAGGAGGAGGAGAGAGGAGAGAGGAGAGAGAGAGAGAGAGAGAGAGAGAGAGAGAGAGAGAGAGAGAGGAGGAGGAGGAGAGAGGAGAGAGAGAGAGAGAGGAGAGAGAGAGAGAGAGAGAGAGGAGAGAGAGAGGAGAGAGGACGGAGGAGAGACGAGGAGAGGAGAGAGAGAGAGGACGGAGGAGAGAGGAGAGAGGAGAGAGGACGGAGGAGAGAGGACGGAGGAGAGAGGAGAGAGGACAGAGGAGAGAGGAGAGAGGACGGAGGAGAGAGGAGAGAGGACGGAGGAGAGAGGACGGAGGAGAGAGGAGAGAGGACTGAGGAGAGAGGACTGAGGAGAGAGGACTGAGGACAGAGGAGAGAGGAGAGAGACCGTTTATAAATGCTATGCTAACCTGCTAGCAATTAGCTCTGGTTTAGCAACAGTTTGTCACACTCACCATTTTGGGCTTAAAAATCTGGGTCTGTCTGATTCTGGTGTTTTTTAAATTCCCTTATAATTGACCAATCAGGCGCCATCTGTCCCATAACTTAGCCACTAGCGCTAACACACTAGCTCCTGATTGGCTCTTTGGTTGCCAAGTCGTTGCTACCCACGGATTCGGCCAGATTCTACAGAGTTCTACCCCATTTACAGGACAGAGACGAAGAGAAGGGAGAAGAAAAAACACAAAAAACAATAGAAGAAGACTATTTTATAGAGTGACATCACCTTTAAATCAATAATAAAATGTGATGGATGAGACATGGGCTTCTTTACTCAAACTTTCAAACAGATATTTGTCCGTTGTTGGCTGTGGTCAAGAGAATTTGCCAATAAAGATGGAAAACTATCTTGGGGCAGAAGCAGCAAAGTACAAATGACAAGACTGGAATAATCCTAATCTGGAGCTGGTGCATTTGGGATTAAAGATGGAGATTTACCTCCTCGGACGCGGGTTCCTTCCTCTCGGCTTCGTCCACACAGACCTCAGAGTTCTCACTGCAGGAAAACCACACAGGCCAGGTTTACTTTTAGAGATGAACAAACACCAAATGATGCAGTTAGAAAAGTGTGAAGGGAGAAGTTTCTACCAATAAAATTATGATATGAATGAAAAGGATTGGTTTACTGAGGGTCTCCTGTCGTCGGGCTAGCATTAGCAGCTAGCGTTAGCAGCTAATGACTGTTCTTTGTGAATTAGGCAAAAATATAAGCGCTGAAAACATTTGTTTCGGCTGAGAACATGTGGAAAAAGACAGATTAAAAGAGGTTAGGAAGAAAAGTTGTCATGTGGAAAACTTGGGACTTAAAGTATAATCTCCCTGAATAACTAGTAATCTTTATTTATATACCGCCTTTTCACTGCAGATCTGAGTCTCAAAGCGGTTTACAATTGTTAATTATGGGCATTTGTCTCTCACTCCACACAGAGATGGGAGCGGGGCCAGTACAGGAGGCGCATGCCAGAACTATTGGACATATTTTTAGTGGTAGGGGAAACCGGAGTACCCGGAGGAAACCTACGCAGACACGGGGAGAACATGCAAACTCCACTCAGAAAGGCCCTGGTCCGACCGGGATTCGAACCCAGGACCTTCTTGCTGAGAGGCAAGAGTGCTATCCACTCAGCCGCCGTGCTAAAAATAAAAATAATACATTTGTTGCTTGAAATGGGAAAGACAACTTCTGTCATAATAGTTTAGTTGTGTTTTGGTGTCAGCATGTTCAGTCTCATAATAATAAACATTAGTAACCTAAAGACGTTTTTTTCAAGTCTAAAAACACACAAACTAACAATCCACATTTACACAAGTTTTAATCAGTAACAGATAAACCGCGTGTCTAAACTAACAGTTACTCATTTGTTCTCTGGTGCAGCAGCCGCTCGTGAAGGTGAAAGTAAATGTCAGACTAACGGCTACAGCGGAGGAGGAGGCGGTCTTTTTATAGACGGGAATAATGGCTGCAGTGAAGGCGTTATGACACATGGCGGAGTAATGAGCTGCGCCGCCTCTGGAGCTACGACCAGAGACCGTGGACTTGTTCTCAGCGCTGGGGTCGGAACGAGGCTGAAGTGTGGGGGACGGAAAAGTTGTGGAGATGACTCAGAGGAAGTTAAAGGGGATAAGACCTAGCTTATTAGCCGTTAGCTTTACCGATTTGTGCAATATTAGTTTGAATCATAGACTGTAAATATCAACAGACGCAGTGACGCCCATCTCCGTCTGTTGAAACTAATGTGTGATCTGTTGTTAGCCGGCACTAGACCCATAGTGCATTCAAAAGTCCACAACGGCGAAACTAGACTGGTCCCAAAAAGGATAAATAAACAACTAAATTCCTTCAACATCGACAATATAGCGTAGCACCGAGAGCCACTTTTGGACCATCCTGTAAAGCCGTTTTCAAGAGGAAAGACGACGCCATACAAAAGCATTGGGTAATTCTTATTCCGGGTACACCCCCACCGGCCCGGGATGGTATGTCAGCGCACGTGTTTAATGCTGCTAACATGTGCAGATGTTACACAATCAACATCTTCATTTTAAACTAATGCAGTTCCCGTTTACAAAGCACTGGGAATAGTAAAGTGTACGGACTTTTACGAATGTTGGAGCGAGGCGTGGAGCCGTTTAGAACTCGGTTAAATCTAATCTTTCCATTCTTCCATTCTATTTCAAATGTTTGTATTGCTACACATGGAGGAGAAACCTTAGTCCAGTCTGATGTGGTTCCCCGGGGTCCTGGGTGCACGGCGCTGGGACTTTAGAAGACTTATTATGAAAGACGGATGTTTGTTTTAGACTATTCTTGGATTTCATGAACCTGGCCAGTAGGGGGCGCATGAGCAGAGGTGGGACTACTCAGTTTTGCTCCATGGATTGTTTTGGAGTCAAAGGCTCTCCTCCTGTGCGCTGTACGGTTGTTGGAACAGAGACACTCAATTCTAAGAGAGTACTAACAAATATTTCTCAAAAGAGTCTTGATTTCGGGCATTTTTGGAAAGAAAAACAGAAGAAATTGCTGTGTTTCCATGGGGTGGCCTGCAGGGGGCGCTTATCTGGGAAAGCCTTGATCCTCCTCCGCCTCATTCCAGTGATTGTTTCAAAGTGTCCTCCTTTATATGAGACACAGTTGGAACATGAACAAACTCTTTCTCTCTATTTGTGCGGTTGCTACAAGCGTACACCGCACACAAAGATGCTTCTTCTTCTACTATATCTCCGTGTATAAACCTCTTCTTCTTCTACTATATCTCCGAATATAAACCACTTCTTCTTCTACTATATCTCCGTGTATAAACCACTTCTTCTTCTACTATATCTCCGTGTATAAACCTCTTCTTCTTCTACTATATCTCCGAATATAAACCACTTCTTCTTCTACTATATCTCCGTGTATAAACCACTTCTTCTTCTACTATATCTCCGTGTACAAACCACTTCTTCTTCTACTATATCTCCGTGTATACGTCCAATCCGGTCCCTGACGTCATATCAAACCCAAGAATATTTCGACCCATCCCATTGGTCAAAAGCTGAGACAGGTCTGTACCACTGTTCCCGGATCCGGTCCTGCTGTGGGAATGGGTCCGGTCCTGCTGTGGGAATGGGTCCGGTCCTGCTGTGGGAATGGGTCCGGTCCTGCTGTGGGAATGGGTCGGTCCTGCTGTGGGAATGGGTCCAGTCCTGCTGTGGGAATGGGTCGGTCCTGCTGTGGAATGGGTCGGTCCTGCTGTGGTAATGGGTCGGTCCTGCTGTGGGAATGGGTCCGGTCCTGCTGTGGGAATGGGTCGGTCCTGCTGTGGGAATGGGTCCAGTCCTGCTGTGGGAATGGGTCGGTCCTGCTGTGGGAATGGGTTGGTCCTGCTGTGGGGAATGGGTCGGTCCTGCTGTGGGAATGGGTCGGTCCTGCTGTGGGAATGGGTCGGTCCTGCTGTGGGAATGGGTCGGTCCTGCTGTGGGAATGGGTCGGTCCTGCTGTGGGAATGGGTCGGTCCTGGGAGGCTGTGTGGAATGGGTCCGGTCCTGCTGTGGGAAGAATGGGAATCGGTCTGCTGTCCTGGTCTGTGGGGAATGGGTCGGTCCTGTGGGAATGGTCCTCCTGCTGTGGGAATGGGTCCGGGTCTGCTGTGGGAATGGGTCGGTCCTGCTGTGGGAATGGGTCGGTCCTGCGGTCCTGCTGGGGAATGGTCGGGTCGGTCCTGCTGTGGGAATGGGTCGGTCCTGCTGTGGGAATGGGTCGGTCCTGCTGTGGGAATGGGTCGGTCCTGCTGTGGAATGGTCCCTGCTGGGATGGGTCTGCTGTGGAATGGGTCGGTCCTGCTGTGGGAATGGGTCGGTCCTGCTGTGGGAATGGGTCGGTCCTGCTGTGGGAATGGGTCCGGTCCTGCTGTGGGAATGGTCGGTCCTGGGTCCGGTCCTGCTGTGGGAATGGGTCGGTCCTGCTGTGGGAATGGGTCCGTCCTGCTGTGGGAATGGGTCGGTCCTGCTGTCTGGTGGAATGGGTCGGTCCTGCTGTGGGAATGGGTCGGTCCTGCTGTGGGAATGGGTCGGTCCTGCTGTGGGAATGGGTCGGTCTGCTGTGGGAATGGGTCGGTCCTGCTGTGGGAATGGGTCGGTCCTGCTGTGGGAATGGGTCGGTCCTGCTGTGGGAATGGGTCCTGCTGGGGATGGTCCTGCTGTGGGAATGGGTCGGTCCTGCTGTGGGAATGGGTCGGTCCTGCTGTGGGATGGTCTGCTGTGGGAATGGGTCGCTGCTGGGGAATGGGCTGTGGGAATGGGTCCGGTCCTGCTGTCCTCTGCTGTGGGAATGGGTCCGGTCCTGCTGTGGGAATGGGTCCGGTCCTGCTGTGGGAATGGGTCCGGTCCTGCTGTGGGAATGGGTCCGGTCCTGCTGTGGGAATGGGTCCGGTCCTGCTGTGGGAATGGGTCCGGTCCTGCTGTGGGAATGGGTCCGGTCCTGCTGTGGGAATGGGTCCGGTCCTGCTGTGGGAATGGGTCCGGTCCTGCTGTGGGAATGGGTCGGTCTTCGGGGATGCGGTCTTACCTGGAGTCTGTCTTGCTGGCGGGGGAGTCTGGGCAGAGGTGCAGCGGGGGTGAGGGGGACCGGGACTGGGAGCGCTCGGTCTCCTCTTCGGAGGCGGGGGGAGTGGAGCCCTGGCACTCTGGAGCCGAGGGCGGGACGTCAGACGGAGGCTCGTCCCCAGACCGAGGCTCCGATCTGGGCTCAGAGTCCCCGCACATGTCCCCTCCCTCTTGGGGCTTGGTCTCCGCAGACGGCTCCTCATCTGCAGCTGTCACAGAGTTTAGGGTTAGCTTGATTTGTCACACGCCCAGACAGAGATATAAAATAAATGTGTCTTTATGTTCATTTTCCAATTATAACAGGGTGATTGCTCTTTTTCCAAATTAAAATTCCAGACGATTCCCAGACTTTTTAAAATATTGATATTTTTTTTCCCAAAACCTTAACTTTATACACTTTATGCCTACTGCCGACTTCATTGGTTGCAATCAAGTCCAAATTTCGGGTGTTGTAGCCATAAATTTGAAAACACGCAACGACCCATTTCTGTTGACCGCTAGGCTAGCTCTGAGTCCTAGACCTCAGCAGTGACATCACAAACATGTGCCAGACCAGACCAGGCTAAGCTAGCGTTGGATATCAGGCTAATACAGTGCATTTCACAAAGCCTTTGAGCACACTGTAAAATTCTACCATACTTTTTTTTTCTCCATACTTTTTTAAGACTTCAAGACTTTTCAAGGTCTGGAGAGAAGTGTTTCAAAAATATACTTATTAAGACTTTCAAGATAAACTGCTCTTCTGACCCTGACCAGATTCTGCCCGTTCTTAATAATGTTTTTGTGTTTAACATCTGTGACAGCCTCCAGGTTTTTGACTGATTGTAAAGCACCTCCAGGTCCTGTAAATTCCTGGGCCACCAATTTTAAAAAGGAAAACGCCAACGTATCTCCAACATATGAGTAAGTAAGTCATCTTTAATTATATAGCGCCTTTCACAGACCAGAGGCATATGACATGACCTATTGTAACCGTAGCACCAGGAGGAAACCTACGCACACATAGGGAGAACATGCAAACTTCCCTCAGAAAGGCCCCGTTACGACCGGGATTCGAACCTCTCTCAAACGCCGGTGCTGACACTTACCCTCCACGCCGTTCGCCACTTGCTCTTTCCCTCCGTACGCCTGCAGCACGGCGCCCAAGATGGCGGCGCTGCGTTTGCGACTCTCGCCCAGACTCGGCGCGCAGTAGTCGTGGTCGCCGAAGCTCCTCCTGGTCTCCTCGCCGGCCTGGCCCATGCGCCGCAGCTGTGCGTAGAGCTCCGTCTGTTCCGGGAGCTTCCTGTTGGGGGCGCCACGCAGCCAGGATGAGGGCTTGTTGCCGGGCGGATTGCTGTTGCTGCTGGGGGCAAGGCTTGTCGAGTCTCCGCCCCCCTCCGCGGTCGCCGTCTTGTTAGCGTCCGAGGGTTTGAAGAGCTCATCCTCCACCGGTTTGTGCGGCGGCGTGGTGGGCGGAGTCAAGCCTTTTAGGACCGAGCGGAAACAGAAGAAGACAGATTCAGCTTTATTATTGTCCATTAAAAACATTAACAGTATTTCCTCTATCCCTGGTAAGTAATCTTTTTTATTTAGCGCCTTTCACAGAGATTTAAGTATGTTAAAAATAATGTTTTTTGGGGGGTTTTAAAACATAAGGTGTATTTTATGGTAATCCAAGTTTCACCTGCAGTTCCACACAAGTCCACACTGAGGGCCGCCTCGAAAGGCTTGGTGCTGTACTGGGACTCTCTGAAACACACACAACAATCATGTAAACAAGTATACACTACTCTATAAACTGTTGTCCTTGGGCAAGACACTTCCCCCACATCGACTAAAATGAGTCTGGTGCCTCTGGAAGAATGTGAAGCGTCTTTAATGATGACAGATTAGGGCCCTTTAACGACGACAGATTAGGGCCCTTTAATGATGACAGATTAGGGCCCTTTAATTATAACAGATTAGGGCCCTTTAATGATGACAGATTAGGGCCCTTTAATGATGACAGATTAGGGCCCTTTAATGATGACAAATTAGGGCCCTTTAATTATAACAGATTAGGGCCCTTTAATGATGACAGATTAGGGCACTTTAATGATGACAGATTAGGGCCCTTTAATGATAACAGATTAGGGCCCTTTAATTATGACAGATTAGGGCCCTTAAAAAGAGATATATAAAACCGATTCATAATTATTATACAGATTCCACTCATGCACTGCAAAAAATGATATATTATGAGGCAATAATCACTTAAATCTAGCGGTTTTTTAGTCAAGTTTTAAAACCAGATTGGGACAAAGCCGTTCAGTCTAATTTCAAGAGAACTGTTTATTTTCTCAAAGTTTTAAGGCTCAGTCAGAATGTGCTTGAATTCAAACATATAATTCCAAATTTGTGAATTTTTTGACTTGATTTTTTACCACTTTTTGCAGTTCGACTTTGGCACCTTAATCTGTTTCTGTTTGGACACGGAAGTCTATTTTTAACCCACATCCAGGGGTGCAGCAGTGCCATAAAAGCACCATTTCCGAATCATAAAGCGGACTTTGAGCTGACGTCTGCTGAATCTGAATCGCGTCCGTCTCAATGGATGTAACCGCCGTTTCTTATCACGGCGACCACATGCTCCTCGGCTGTGATGTCGCATGCCGTTATGAAAAGACAGACCGCAGAGTACGTTTGGCTCCGGACTCAAAACCGCTCACCGTCCAAAGAGAAAAACCACACACACTTTCGAGATGATTGAATTTGGAGATGGACAAAAGACAAAACATTGAAGCGTGACTTGGAAGAGAGCCATTTTTTGAGAGAGATTTGTTTAGTGGGAAAAAAACGCAACAATACGTCTGGACCGAACAAAGAAAAAATGGCAGAAAAGCTACATTTCATTAAAACAAGACGAATAATTGGCGTATTCAGTCTAGACTCCTGACTTAAAATCCAAATGTGTCTTCTGCGGTGGTGCTGGGAACATGGCAGAACGCTTCCGTTGGGAATACCGTGATAATAATGTGTATTTGTGGACAAACACTTCTGTTATTACAGGTGAGACTGTTGTAAGCTTGTGTATAGAGCTCACCCTGTGGATTTGGGGTTCAGCGGCAGACAAAGGCAAGCTCTCTTCTCTGGAATCACAAAATCACAACACGTTTAAGGCCTTTCAAATCACAACCAAGCCGATCGTATCACTATCAACAAAACCTCTGAAGAAAAGTAATTCATATCACAAGACATCCACATTGTGTTCTCGGATGGATTGGCTGGTGGTTTGCTAACTTCTCAAAGCTGCAGTACACAGGCATAACCCTAAACCTGAAGCGAGCATGTAAGCTAATGTATGCTAATGTTGTGCTCACGGTTTTGATTAGCGCTGGTAACAATGCTAACGTAACACCAACAACTCTTACAGAAACTGAGAAATAAGGTAGAAATGGTAATTATGTCTTCTTGTTTACAATTAGCTTTAGCGCACATGGAAGTGAGAGGCATTGTCTTCCAACACTGAGGATATTTATAACATTTATAACATTGGTCTCTGCCCCTTACGGTCCAATAGCTCTCTGTGTTTTTCATCATTGCATTTCCTGTGTTTTTACGGTTTGATTCTCTGATCTGAGCTTTGTAAAGTCCTCCTGAAGTGCACTAGGGCTTTACCCAAAAAAAAGTTGAGAGAGTTGAATTGAATTTAACAAATCAACAGGAACAAGAGAAACACTGTAAAAACTGTATTTAAAATGTTATGTTTAGAATCAAAGAGCAGATTTGTGATTTCAAAACCCAGAATCCGTATTGAACCTTGTGTGGGTTTTGTACCGTTGTGGCAGCAGGGCTTGGGCTGCTCCGACGCCTCGTTTCCACCGTCAGTCGGCGTTAGCATCTCCGTCTCTGCTTCCACAGTCTCTGGAGCTGGTGCCAACTTTGCCGCGGGCTTCTCCAAATCCGTTTTCTCCACCGCGACCGGACGAGACGGACGGTGCCTTTTCGCGAAACGGCTCGGAAACGATGCCAAACGTCTAGACCTTCGCACAGAGAAAGATCCACCGTCCTCCGCCAAAGTGTCCAGAGAGTTATCCGTGGAAGAGCTACTCCTGTCCGGGGAGGAGCGCTCGTGTCTGGAGGCGGTGGGCGTGGCCTTAGCCTGTGCAGAAGGTGCGTTGGTGCCTCTGCCAGGGCTGGAAGAGCAGACATACGGCGGGGTGTGCAGTCTGTAAGGCTTGCTCACGTCGTACGAGCTTGTTCGCTGCAGTAGCTCCCGCAAAAGTGAATTGGCTTTGACCTCTCGCCGCCGCGCAAACGGGATCCGCTTGGGCGCACCGGGGACAGGGTTACCGCCACCGTGTGCCACCGCCGAGGAACTCCCGGGGGCAGTAGCCACGAGGACGACCCTGGTGTGAGAGTTTGTGTTCTGGGCCAAGGACGGAGGCCGAGGGCGGTTCCTCTGAGCGTCCCTGTCCCGGCGGTCCCAGCCGGCGTGCTGCTTGCGCGACGGCAGGCAGTACGTGTGCATGTAAGTGATGAGGCCAACCACCGACTGGAGCTCTTTCTCGGAGCTGAACTGCGGCTTGGCGGGCTCGGCTCGCGGCGCGGCCTTTGCGTCCATTTCGCTGCTGCTGGAAGAGTCGTCTTCCTCCTCTTCCTCCTCCTCGGACTCGCTGTCCTCGTCCTCTTCCTCCTCGTCGGAGTCTGCAGCTGCTTCGGCTGCGGCGGCGTCGTGGTCGCCCCGCCCGCCGCGCTGCCCGGTCGTGGTGAGGTGCCGGTGGAGCTCGGTGCAGAGGCGGCCGGAGGGACGCACCGCTCTGGGTTTGCGCTCCAGGGGAAGGTCAACCTGGGCAGACAGGACAAGCTTTTTAATACATTTCATATACATTCATTTAACCCTTTAACGTTCACTCCTTCAAGAAAACAATGTACATTTCTGTATTTTTTTCATACTTTCTAAAGCTCTGATGACACACATGAACCCCTAGATTAAATTTATTTATAAGCCTCTTATTAAATGGTTGAGATGCAGCTTGATGGTAAAAGTGCTTAAAACAAAGTGCTAGAAATGCCCTTAAGAGGTAGATTTCAGTTCCAATATTTAAGTAGATAGAAACCATTTTAGCCTCAAAACTAGAAAAATTGTCACAATGATCAGTTGCAGATAAACTTTGTGAGTAATCTAGTAAGTAATGTTTATTTATATAGCGCATTTTTCACAGCAGGGACATCCAAAGCACTTTACTATGATCAGAGTTCAGATATTTGTCCGTTCTCCTCAGACACCATCCGTTCACACCCATTGTTTTTAGAGGTAGGGGAAACCCGGAGCACCCTGAGGAAACCTACAGTGCACAGAAACTTTAAGATCCAAGACAGACATGTTACAGATTACAGCCTAGAAGGTGCTTTCTGAAGTCCCAGACGGTGGATCGTACTGTTTTTATTGATACTTTTTAAACCTTATCGAAAGAAACACTATTGGGAAAAACATGTATGGATTTTCATAATTAATTGTATATATATTACATTCTATAAATTCATTCTCTTTTCTTATGCATTCAAATCCAGGGTTTTTTCCACTGAGATTGCAGATTTTTATGCCGTTTTGTGCCGTATTCCAACACACCGACAACACCTTTAAGTGTGGTAAGAGTAAACATGTTTGCTGTTAATGCTTGGGTTGAAAATGCAGAGCGGAGAAAATAACACATTTCATGGGATCACGCTCAAATAACCTCATTTCTGACACGCTGAATTATACATTGTGGCAAATCCAGCAATTTTGGCGTCGCAGTGAATTTGCTGATGGTGTTGGAATAATAATTTTACCGGATGTACCAAAGCCACCTACGACAGGTTAGCTAACATATGCTAACGGCCACATTCATTCATTCATTTATTCATACTTAAATAACATTTCTAACATTCTTATTTAAACCCCTACCCCAGTCTTATGACAGTAAGACAACAAACATAGATGGCTTTGTGTCAAAATACAACAAATACAACCAATACAAATACAATACAATTTCTCACTTCATATTAGGAGCAATGTTCTTAGACGAGGGAACAAGACTGAAACCGGGTTAAGATCTGAAAGCCAAAATGCAAAAAGCACACTAGAAAATATTGCTCAGAAATGGCTCAAAATTGGCAAAATGTGTCTTGATTGGAGCACATTCTGACTGAGCCTTAAAGGAGCAGTGTGTAAACATGTGGTCTAAAGTGGTACTGCAGCCTCTCCCACTCTCCCTGACTCAGGTTGCCAGATATGCAGACGAATCCAGCTGGGACCATAACAGCTGAATAGACAAGAGTTTTGTCAACAACAAATCTATAACCAACACCTTTTTCACAAAGATAGAAATCCTGCTTTTATTCCTTGTTTTGTCGTTAATGATTTGAGAACAAGACCTTTTTTAGTTCTGCACCACATGGTACTTTACCAGTGAGATTAGCTCGACAAGGTGGAAGATTTAGGGGCTGTAAAAGTAATTTAGAAATTCAAATATCTCTGAACTACTGTTATCAGTTAAAGACTTATTGGAAAAGAGCAGTTTATTATTATGACAGATTAAGGCACTTTAAGGATGACGGATTAGGGCCCTTTAATGACGACAGATTAGGGCCCTTTAATGATGACAGATTAGGGCCCTTTAATGATGACAGATTAGGGCCCTTTAACAACGACAGATTAGGGCCCTTTAACGACGACAGATTAGGGCCCTTTAATGATGACAGATTAGGGCCTTTTAATTATGACATATTAGGGCCCTTTAATGACGACAGATTAGGGCCCTTTAATGACGACAAATTAGGGCCCTTCAATGACGACAGATTAGGGCCCTTTAATGATGACAGATTAGGCCCTTTAATGACGACAGACTACGGCCTTTTAATTATTACATATTAGGGCCCTTTAATGACGACAGATTAGGGCCCTTTAATGACGACAGATTAGGGCCCTTTAATGATGACAGATTAGGCCCTTTAATGACAACAGATTAGGGCCTTTTAATTATGACATATTAGGGCCCTTTAATGACAACAGATTAGGGCCCTTTAATGATGACAGATTAGGGCCCTTTAATGACGACAGATTAGGGCCCTTTAATGATGACAGATTAGGCCCTTTAATGACGACAGATTAGGGCCCTTTAATGACGACAGATTAGGGCCCTTTAATGACGACAGATTAGGGCCCTTTAATGATGACAGATTAGGCCCTTTAATGACGACAGATTAGGGCCTTTTATTTATGACATAGGGTGTATTCAGACTTGAAAAGTCCTTTGCTCCGCTTGCTTGATCCGAATCAAAAGCGGACCAAACTTTTTTCTTTTGCTCCGGTTCGTATTCAGACTGTCCTTTTTGTAAGTGAACTTTTTTATATAAACATATCGACACGTGTGACGATCGGCTCCTATTGGACAGAGAGAGCTCACGGAGGATAGATGCGGAACCAGAGGAAAACAGAGGGCTCGTATGTGCAGCATGTCTGCTCTGCCTACATTTGCTCTTTTTAGACCAAAACCACCTTCAACATCAACAGCAGCTCATATGACACAGGCCAAACACCTTGTTTTAAATATTGGAACAGCGTCGGAGAATGCGTGAGGAGAAAGCCGAAGGAGACTGTCTGTGCGCTCCGTGTCCACACATGGATCTATGATAATAACGGCCCTGTTCAGCATTGTGGATAAACCATGGATCTATAATAACCACGGGACAAACAGACGCTGAGGATCAGGTATGAACCAAAGAACACAGTTCACTACATGATGTGGAATATTGCTCTTTGAGACGTGAGTCAAACAGTGTCAGGCTTTTAATAATGCAAATGATCTGAAGATGCTGCCATTAACATCAATGTATACTGTGAACAGTGTAACTCCATAAGCCTGTTGCACAGTGTCTCCTCACTGCTCCAGGTCTGCACACGGCTCAGTGTTGTTAGCAGCGTTTAGGTACGCGGACCCCTGGGGGTACGCGGGGACGTTGCAGGGGGTACGTGGTGAAAAAAAAAAAAATAAGAAAATTCTGCCAATAATTTAAAAAAAAAATTGTGGTAATGCAGAATAAAGTAAAAACGGTGTCAATACGGGTGTCACTTAATAAAAGTCTTAATACAACATTTATAACACATGTACTATTGTTTTAATTGTCCTAATTGTACCTCCGGGAGGCATAAACTGTGACACGCTGCGCGCCTAAACATCAAAACAGTGGAAAAATACGACAGCTAGCATGGATAGGTGGCTCAAACGCCCGATTACGATCACTCCAGACTCTGATGAACATTCTGCTGAGACGATGGAAAAGCGTAAGAAAGATACAAAATCAAAGCAAAGACAGTTCTGTGATAAATACCTGTTGTATGGATTCACCTGCACCTCGGCGGATCCTCCGCAGCCTCAGTGTTTCTTTTGCGGCGAGGTCTTGGCTAACACCTCGATGAAGCCATCACATCTACAGCGACACTTGACCACAAAACATCCAGAAAGTGCGGGTAAAGCGGAAGAGTTTTACAAACGAAAGCTGATGGGATTTAAGACGAGTCAGTCCGTCATTAAAAAGGCCGCAAGTGTCTCAAGCAAAGCGTTGGAGGCCTCCTACGCCGTGTCATTGCTTGTGGCCAAATCCAAAAAGCCACATACAATAGTCGAACAACTGATCCTCCCTGCCGCGACTGCTTTGGCTGAAAAAATGATTGATAAAAGAGCAGCAGACGCATTCAAAACAGTCCCGTTGTCAAACAACACAGTGTCCCGACGAATCGCTGATATGTCAAGCAATATTGTGGAGCAAGTAGTGTCTAAAATGAGGCGAGCGGGACACTTTGCTCTCCAGCTGGATGAAATGACAGATGTCAGCGGAGAAGCCCAGCTCTTAGCGTTTGTACGGTACAAAGATGAATCGGACATAAATGAGCACGTACTATTTTGCAAAGCACTGCCAGGAAAGACAACGGGTGAAGAGATATTCCAGGTGATCGACAGCTTTTTTAAAGAGCACGATATTGAGTGGACGTACTGTACGCACATCTGCACAGACGGCGCTGCTGCTATGTCCGGGGGAGTAAAGGGACTTCTTGGCCAGGTGAAAAAGGTAAATACCGAGATCAAATGGTTGCACTGTATTATCCATCGCGAAGCCTTGGCCAGCAAGAGAGTGAGCCCTGAGTTGAGCGCCGTTTTAGACGATGCCGTAAAAGTAATCAACTTTATTCACTCGCGTCCACTCAACCGCAGACTTTTCCAAACGCTGTGTCAGGAGAGCGGCACCGAGCACGAACAGCTTCTGCTTCATACGGACGTGCGCTGGCTGTCTCGCGGGAAAACACTACTGAGGCTTTATGAACTTCATAATGAGGTTTATGTGTTTCTTAAAGAGCATCAGCACAGTCTCGCGGTCGTGTTCGAGGATGCTGAGTGGGTGGCACGTCTTGCGTACCTGGCCGATGTTTTTTCAAAACTCAACGAGCTCAACCTGTCACTCCAAGGCAAAGAGTCACACATTCTCAACATGTATGACAAAGTGAAAGGATTCACTAAGAAGCTTGAGCTATGGTTGAGGAAGTGTGATGAGATGGATGTTAGCTGTTTCCCACTACTTCAAACTCACCTTACTACCAGTGAGTTACCCAGGCGGGCAGTAGTCAAAATAGTGAAAGCACATCTGACCAAGCTCAGCACTGATTTTAATCAGTATTTCCAGGACATTGACAAACATTCAGAAAGACTTGATTGGGTGAGGAACCCCTTTATCATGAGTGAAAGCAGCAAGAATCTTCCAGCAGTGCTGCAGGAGCAACTCATGGATTTATTCTCTGACCGTGGACTGAAGATGGGACATACTACAAAGACACTGACTGAGTTTTGGTGTGATGTGGAGAAGGAGTATGCAGATCTTGGAAAACGTGCATTGTCTGAACTGTTACCTTTTGGATCTACTTACTTATGTGAAGTGACTTTCTCTGCTTTGACACACATTAAAACTAAACACAGAAACAGGCTGGCTGTGGAGAGCAGCCTGATTACAGCTGTTGCCTCATTGTCCCCTGATATAAGTAAACTGATGGGAGAAAAGCAAGCTCAAGCATCTCATTGACTTCTAAGAAAATTAAGACTAATTATTTTAAAAGGCCTATCGTGTTCTGTGTAAGCCGTCATGTTAAAATATTTTTCAATAAGCATTTCATTTGGATTCTGAAAAGAAAATATATTGAATATAGCAAATGAATGTGAAGGTGTTTGATTTATATGCAAATTTGTATACAAACAGTTGCATAAAATGTTACATTAAACGAAATAAACGAATTGTTGTAGAAAAAAAAAATGCATATGGGGGTACTCATGACTTCACTCACAAGCCCAGGGGGTACACAGACCAAGAAAGGTTGGGAACCACTGCTCTATGGTGCTGCATACGTAACAAGTGTCTCTCTCTCTGTGGGTGTGTGTGTGTGTGTGTGTGGATGTGTGTGAGGGCTGTATGTGTGTGTGTGTGTGTGTGGATGTGTGTGAGGGCTGTATGTGTGTGTGTGTGTGTGTGGATGTGTGTGAGGGCTGTATGTGTGTGTGTGTGTGTGTGGATGTGTGTGAGGGCTGTATGTGTGTGTGTGTGTGTGTGGATGTGTGTGAGGGCTGTATGTGTGTGTGTGTGTGTGTGGATGTGTGTGAGGGCTGTGGGTGTGTGTGTGTGTGTGGATGTGTGTGAGGGCTGTGGGTGTGTGTGGATGTGTGTGAGGGCTGTGGGTGTGTGTGTGAGGGCTGTGTGTGTGTGTGTGTGTGGGCTGTGTGTGTATCTATTGTGCATATGCAACAAGTGCACTTGGACTGTGTTGTAAGACATATAGAAAGTGAATGTCAAAGTGTGTTATGGACAAAAGTAAACATGCACTTTTGTTCCAACATTAAAGGGCTCCTATTCAATTTGACAGAGCACGTTTTTGTAATAATTTATCAGTTCTAAATTAAAAAAATGTGCAGATCAAAGACAATTTTCACCTTGACAGAAGCGAGACAATAACAGTTTTGGCACCGGGTGTTCCCAGAGGTCTCCCATCACAGCACTACCAAGCCATGTGTTGCTTAGTTTCATTGGACAGACAGGATCAGGTGACGTCCTTTTTTTGTCTTGAGGTGCCCCAAAGTCATGTCGGATGAAAAATAGTAATATACTGTATTCTCATTCCCACTGATTTTTGGCTAAAAACTCCAGGTCGTCTCTTGGTATGACGCATAAATGTATAGTAGTAATTAGACAGCGATAACACCAAACTGTTTGCTAGCCTGTTGCTTGGATACACAGTTTATTTACATATTATACCGATATTTAAAATGTCAAATAGGCGGGAAAAGGCGGGAAGGTCAAAAGGCGGGAAGGTTAAAAGGCGGGAAGGTTAAAAGGCGGGAAAGTTAAAAGGCGGGAAAGTTAAAAGGCGGGAAGGTTAAAAGGCGGGAAGGTTAAAAGGCGGGAAAGTTAAAAGGCGGGAAAGTTAAAAGGCGGGAAAGTTAAAAGGCAAGTCAATAAAACGACCTGAATTTACAAAATTACGTTTTAAAATGTGTTTAG